AAAATACATAGAAAATTGGTCGAGTGAGGATGTACATTAAGAAAAACATCTTACTCGACTTACTGCTACCACTACGGAGAAATTATTTTCATATCAATTTCAAGAGAGAGAGAGATTGTGTCAGTAAAATCGTACTGAAAACTAATTTTTTGTAAACGTGACATCCCTCCTCAGCTCAAAAAAAAGTAATAATCAAATTGTTTGGATATACAAGCAAGGCAATGTAGAGCAAAGTGAGAGCCTTCAAAATACATAGAAAATTGGTCGAGTGAGGATGTACACTAGTGGAAAATTGCGAAGTAACAGACCATGTCTCAAGAAAGGTAGTTGTATAGCATATATCGTACTCATCTCACGGAGGCTGCTGACGCACTCATCCTGGATCTTTTATAGTAGTGATTTGAATTACTATATTGATTATTCTCAGCTAATATTACAAAATTCTGCAGTCATTTTAGAGATTCTCAAACTTCGTGCTCCTCATCAAAACGACTTCAAATCCTACCCTATTTTTTTGTAAAGAAACGTTACACTATAGCTTTACTGAGAAATATCGGCCTATGTAATGTGGGACCGTTCCGTGCTTACAAGTACACGCGTAGACTGCAATAGAACTTAGTGAAACCTTTACTTTGCTACAACAACCTACAAGATGCAAATATGCTAAATCCAAAAAATTTACTGACTTTCTCATTAGCCTGATCCTACTTAGCCACTATTCCAACAAGAGGCTCTTCGATTTTGACCTTTCATTCTGCATTTCCAACTCATGTCTTCAATCCAAAAGATTGTCCCTCTAGTAACCAGTGACCAGCGATATATTTTTTATTTTAAATGCTTAAAGCCAGAAACTACACTCAGATGGTCAAAAGATTACAAAAATACGGGTTTTGTTTCCCTCAAAAATTACCTAACAGAAGTCGAGTGGTTCATTTCCTTCACTCCTCTGAACACTGTTGATGAAATTTATAAAAGATTTTTTGATGTGCTACATTATTTGTAAACCGCTTTGTACAAAACCGAAAAACTCTAATATTAAGTTACTGCTCATCTTGAAACTATGCTTAGTGAAAAAGAACACCTTTGGTCAACAGCTATTGCGTTCTTACCTTTTCTATTGGTCGAAATATCATCATTTTTTACAAAATGTCTCAAAAAAGATTAGTAGGTTTTACTTTTAAAAAAAAGCTTAATGATAAAGATGGAGCCAGAAGCTTTTACAAATTATTAAATACTAGGCTCAAGAACAATCACTACGTTGGCACCGTAATCGATATTAACTCAAAAAGAGCTGTGAAAGACTCTGTCAAGGTTGAAATGCTACCTAACCATTCCGAAAGGTTCTACGAGAAGACTCCAGTATTGAAACACTTTTCCCTGGATGATCACAAAAAAACTTCCAGAGTAACACTGGATTCTCGTGCTACAAAGAAGATGTGATAAGAATTTTCATGGAAGTCTCCCGCAGCTCTAAATCCTGATGATTTACCTTCCATCATATCAAAAGAATTGTGCCTACGAAATCACTATCCCACTCGAATTCATTTTCAACCTTAGCTTAATGCGAAGTGAAGTCCCGAAAAGTGGGAACATACATTTGCTTTTCCCTTACCCAAAAAAGAGCCACTCTGTAATCCGCAAAACAATAGACCAATAACCCTAACCTCAATATTTGCGCGAACCTTTTAAAATCTTCTTAAAAATTCATTTGATAAACCACGTAAGGAAAATAGCCTCATCCCTTTGTTTCAACACGGTTTTACAAAGAGGACGTCTGTAGAGATCTCGCTGCTTCGGTCACTCAACGGCTAAACTACTCGACTTTAAAAAAAAGATTGATGTAGTTTATTTCAACTTTCAAAAAGCATTTGAT